CACAATATGCACTGCCTAACAGCGAACCTTCGACAGCCTCTTCAACGTGGCAGCTTCTTCCCCTGACTCACCAGTGTTGATTCATCTCCCTCCATTCGCTTCGGGAGCCGAAACCACACCAATAGATCTCCCGACTTCGTTCCAGGAGTGGCCCATCGCAAGGATCAATTATCGCTGGGCAGAGCAAGCTGATGAACAGCTGCCGTACTCGGGATGGCCAACACCCATCCACGACACGGCCTTTGCCTATGAGTGGCTCGTCGAGAATCTCGCGCCTTCGAGCACTGCTCGACGCGACATCTACGTTTACGGATCATTCTTCGGCGCCAGCCTAGCCCTGTCGCTTGCCTTGACCGAGTGCCATGGCCACGCTAAGTTTGGAGTGAGGGGAGTCGCCGCTTACAACGGAATCTACAACTGGACCATGTTCCTCCCCGACCACCCTGTTCACAAGTATAAAAGGAGGGGGCTCTCGTACTTGACAGAGAGACCTCTTGCAGATGGACTGCATCTTGCAGACGTGCCAGAGCAGCTTCCAAGCCTGTTCAGGACACCAGCCAACCTCTTTGATCCATTCATCAGTCCGAGCCTCCTCTTCCACAACCCTGGTCTCTTAGTTCCAGCAGATTTCGACGGCTCGCCGGCATCGTCGCCCATCTCGGACATGGTGGCGCGTCTGGTAGCTGGGGAAGATGGGGATGCGGATAACATTCTTCCGATAAAGGTGCCCCGGAAGTCACATCTCCTCTTCCCTCCCCGCACATCCACATTGAAGATCCCCTCAACGCTTCTCATGCACGACAAATTTATCGCGCGGACGCCAGGTGGCCGGATCTCAAAGCGAAGGCCACGGGGGAACACATTCATGGCCCAGGCAGAGGAACTCGCGGAGCTCATGCGGCGGAGCATGGAGAAACTCGAGCTCAAGGAACGTAGCAACTGGGATGATGATTATGAGACCTGGGAAGCAAAGGCTCTTCGCAGGATACAGGTGGCAGATATAGGGGTGGAACACGAAGGGCTTTTCCTGGGTGAAGCTGGAGAAGAGCGGCTGGCAGATTGGCTTGAAGAGTTCATTTAATTGTTATTTCCCTTACGGAGCTCTAGTAGCTTAGATCCTCCACACCCGCAAATGCACGAAATCCCGAAAAGCGAAGATTTATATCACTCTGTGACCGCATTTCCTTTTGTTTACATTCCTTGGTCACGCTGGAACTGTTTGTAAACAACGGCTATTTGGACGCAGACGTTGCGTTGAGAGTTACGCCTGGGAGGGTTCAATCTGCATTGGGTGAACACCGGCTCTTGGCAATACTTTCTCATTATTTCCACTTAAAGGCCTGTCTCATAGATCAATTCTCAATTAATAAATCTATTTAAGATGACAGAAACAATCGCGTGGTGGATCTTACGTCATCAGGAAAGACGCGACGAAAACCCATTAAAGACACGCGATTACGCGACTGGCCAGGGAAGTGCCCCACCATAGACCAGATGGATCCATGCCCATCAGCCCAGTACTGCCGTTCCATCACACAGCAGAGCATCTGTACAGCTTTGTAAAAGACGAAAACTTGGTGATTTGATCTGCTTTAACCGGATGCTGCCTGTGATACTCCCAGATACTGCTGGCTAGAAGCTGACTTGATGGCGCCGTCAACACGCTCGCGAGGCGCCCCCGCGCCAAGCCGAATCTACAATTCAACCCCATCCCTCCAGCAGGCCCAGTTCCCCCCGCGCAAGAAGACTGTTCGCACATATGGCAGGCAAAATCAGAAAACCAAGGGGCTGAGACAGCAGACATTAACACAAATAGATTTTGTGTCCAGCTTTGAGGAGGATGCTGAAGACGATCTATTGAGTGATGCGACTGAGGAAGGCAACGGCGAAGGAAATGTGGTTGAGGACAAGGAGAATGACAGGCCATCGGAACTGCCCATTCTCGAAGAGAGGGAGATCTATGGTGACGAGACCGAATCTGGTGAGGAGGAAGAAGAGCAGGAGGAAGAACCAGTTCGCTCAGGGAGAAAGCGCCGGGGTGCCTTGAAAGAGAAGAGAAACGATAATCAAAGCACGAAGAGACGGCGGACGTTCGGCGGCAACGTGGGAATGAAGCAGAGCAAAAACTCGAGGCGGAAGACCGTCGGAGATCCTCCAAGCTCAAGTTATCACACCCAGACCTTGACCCAATGTTATGCAAAGGGTCAACTGATAAAGGATTCAGAGGATGAGGATGGGGGAGACTTGGACGACAACGGGAAGGAAAATGTTGACAACGACGGCTTCGATGATTGGCTCCGTGAGCCCAACAGCCCAAGCCCTCAGCCAAGACAAGCCCCGGCTGAAAGCTTGCCCGGGCTAGATGACATATTCGGAACTGCCTCACAGCGCCTTGCTTCACAAGAGGGCTCAATCATCCCCCAGACTCCTGCGAAGCGAAATAGACGCGCCGTAATACCATCATCCAGCCAGCTCTCCACGCCGCTCAGCAGCCATCTACTTTCTCGGTATGGTCCGCTCTCGGGCATCCACGAGTCACCGTCCGTTCGGGGAACGCAGGCAGACTCGAGACCTCATCAGCTCGATGAACTTCCTGGGACGGTGACTTCGCCGACGCCGACTAGAAGGAAATTAATCATCGAAGACTCTTACGCAACGGGAAGCTGGGGCTCGGAGAATCAAACACAACCGAAGCGTTCACCCTTGAAAGATGTCACCCGTGATACTGGTGGCGCACCAAGTCGAGCTCCGAGCCGAGAAACTACCAGTTCTTCAGATGAAGAATTGATGAACACTCCGACAAGAGCAAGGCCACGCAGAGACGCTGTTTTGGAGTCAGGAGGCAGGCTCCGGTCATCACAAGCCAGGTCAAGACTTAGCACACCGTCTCCATCAAAGAGAAAGAAGGTTTCGCCCAGGAAGTCTCCGATGGGTCTCCGCGAAATCCCTGATTCGGATGAAGAGTCTGAATTCTGGGGCGAGGACGAGATCGACCAGGAAAACCAGGCTCCTATCGACGAGCAAGAAAGGGAACCAGGCTCAAGTAAATCACAACATGGTGGATCTGGGGCTGGGACACAACGAACTAGGCCTGAACGACTTGGGCTGTCAAATGCACCTCCGCAAGAGAAAGAAGGAACAAGTTTCAAAGACAAAGGCATCGAGGTCGTTGAAGATTCAACAGAAGGCGAGGATAGTGATGATGACGACCAGTTTGCTGCCGGACCCGACACACTCTTCGTCCTGGATGAACTTGGCACCTCGTATCGCAGCACAACCGATGAAGCGCTCACTCAAAGCCGAAGGCGTGAGCCAAGTTCAACACCAAGAACAACACAACCTATCCCTACGCCCCAAGAGCCTCTCTCTTCAAAGCCTCTTCGCGAGCCTATCCATTATCCCGCACCTAGACACACTCAGACACAACCTCTTGAGTCGCAGCGTGTTCCTCTCGCAGTTATCCAGGGCCTCGGCGAGCCAGCCTACGCCACGGATATCCTCCTCCCAGTCTCGCCCACAGTTGTATCACGGCTCGCTAGCGGGCATCTTGTTCATATCGACCTCCCCTTCAAGATATACCCGCAAGTCACTCGTTTCTGGCTGTATGACGGATCCTTACTTCAATATCTTGCATGCCCCCAGCCAGGAGTGCAACAGGGGCCAAGCGAATGGAGACATGAGATTGACCAAGTATATGAGTTGAATAACCCTCGCGACGAGGAAGACATGCGGGAGGAGGAGTGGTATCCTGACACCATCGGCAGGTACAAATACCTCCCGCCAGCCATCGTGAGCCAGCTTCTCTCCAACCTCAGACACAAGCTCTTCAGCACCGACGCTGGGCAGCAAGCCCCCATTGAGGCTGTAGAGCTTCCATCCGACCCTCCGTCCGACGAGCAACCCATCCCATTGCCAAACTACACGAATCAGCTCGCCCCCAGCAGTTCCATGGGCATCAGCATCTCCCAACAGGTCGAGGCCCAGCTTCGCAGCGAATCGGACCGACTGACAGAGAACCCGGGCTCCGAGGACACCATCCTCGTCCCCTCGACCCCAATGTCCAACCGCAAGACCCCAACTGCCCACAACAGACAGAGCATCGTGCGCCCCTCGCAGGCCACGACGGCATCCGTAGCCTCGACGCCCGACAAGTACCACCGCCATCACCAAAGCCAGCAGCCGAAGCAGCCGCAGCAGCATCAAACCCCGTCCCTCCGCTCCTCGCACCACCACCACTCATCCAGCAGCCACGTGACCTTCCAGGACTACGGCTCCTCCTCGCCCCCGCTGGTCCTCCCTGACTCTAACAACGGCCGCAGCACCTCGCAGCTCCTCTCCAAGAGCCAGATGCTCCCCGACAGCCTGCTCCGCGACGAGTCTCAGATGCCCCCCGAGATCTGGAGCTCTGGCGAGGAAGATGATTGAACTCTTTCTTCTGGTGGATTATGGAAAATGTTTTGGGCGTTGCAAATAGGCAACATTTATGAAATACTTACCTGTAAACCTTAGAGATATGAGTCTTGGATGGGACGAATACCGTCTTACTGTCAACAGCTTATGGGCACATGCTGATATAATAGTAGTACAAATTAGTCGATGGAAGAAATAAAATGAAGATAAATGAATAAACGATACCTTAGGCAGGATGGACCTCCACACTGCGAATTAGATCAAGTACTTTCTACATTATGCACCGTCAAGTGATAAGTTAACTTATATAAAACCTCATAAGATATCTATAGTTCGGTCATAAACGCTGAAAAGCATTATTTTGAGCATCAAGTCGGTTCTTGACCAACAGACGACCCGGCCTCCAGCGCCATACACAATTGCATACAAAACCGTACCGGTAAGCCCCCCTGCTTCTCGCCTTTTCCATCCTCGTACGATTAAAAGAGTACTTTTCGTAATTCACAGAAGGTACTTGGATCTCTTGCTCCACTGGTGTCAAAAGACACATCTATACTCCCCCAATCCGTCCTATGCCCTCTCACCGATGTTTAGGAGAGATGGAATGCCCCTTGTCCCTCCTTCATTGCCTTTGAGAGCTGCCTGTCCATCACCTCGACGCCGCTGTAATTTGGTAGCTTGAGATAGTTGACACATGTCATGACACTGGGAAGATAGTCATCGGACGTGTATGGTTCTTCACTTGGTTTGCACACCACAGTGAACATGGGCGTTAAGCTCTTGAAGCCTATATCTGGGTTAGCATGCAAAATTCTGGGGGTATCCAGATCCAAGTTCGGTGTATTTACCTCCAATTGGTAGCTTGGGACTTCCGGTCGTGAACTGTAGGAAGTCTCGTCTTTCTGTGGCATCGAACCCACTCATCAGTTGGAGCAGGTTTCGAACGCTGGGGCTCTCCATGTTGTAGCCATGGTCCGCCTTGATGGAGTCGAGGAGAGCTAGTAGAGGTTAGCAGCAGAAAACTTAGCAGGGGTCCATTTGTCAACTCACTCTCAAGGGACCAATCCTCATCAGTTCTTCCGAATAGATTCACAAGCTCGTCTGGTGTGAATGCACTCAGAGCAGAGTAAGGGAATACTGAGGAAAATCCAGAGCGGAAGGCATCTACTTGACGACGTACTCCCGAGCCTAGTGTCACATCGATCACCTTTGCAAGGTAAGATTCGACGTTGTCAATCGTCACCCTTGTGTGAGCCCCACCATCTTCGAGCTCAATTTCTGGATAGCCAGGAAGAGTGAAATCAAGGCACAGATCTTCCAAACGCACGTTGTCGATTGAAATATCTGCTAATTCAGCCACTTTCTGTGCTGGCGTCTTGTTGGGGTCCTCATCGATTTGTTTCTTCGCTATGGCGAAATCCTTGATTGTCATAAGAGACTGAGCTAGGCCAGGATCGACCATCTTAACCGCGCCGAGTGATGGCTTGACTCCTGCCGATGTAGCCTCTCCGATTCGGAAGAAGATGGGGTTTAAGTGAATATCAACGATACGAGAATCAATCATTGACCTCGCCACGAATTTTCCAAGCATCTTGAATAGGTGGAGAATACGTTCGCCATTAGGTGTTGACGCCTCTTGGTCGCTTATGGGACGGGGGAATAAGCCGGTTTGAACTGTAGCAAACTCACTTGATATATCGGAATCGATGTCACGCCACAGTTTGAGTTTCTTCTTCGAGAACTCGAGAGAGACAGTGGAGTAGAACTCGAGGGTTGGCCCGAGGCCAGTCCCGACCTCCTCAAAGTATTCAACTTCCAAGATGCTCTGAGATGCACCATATAGATCCATGACTTTTAGGGCAGACTCAAGGATTTTGGTACGTGAGATACGTACTTTCTGCCGCTGAAGACGCCCAAGGAATGGGCGTTCGTTGTGGCGGTCGCGGCGACTTTCCTCTGCTGATTGCGTGTTTTGCCATCTGGTCATTGACCGCGCATACCCGAAAGAAGTCGATTGAAGGAAGAGATGTCTTGTTTCAAATGGGAAGAGGAAGGGGTAGAGTCGTGCAAGATCTTCAGACCATCCAGGAAGACAGTTGCTTGCAACGATGAGAGGTTCTTCGAGTTGGCGGTTTAACTTGGCAGTGAGTTTGGTGTTCACGAACTGAGAGAGGGGCTCCCGGTAAAGGCCCACGATCCCATTCTTCTTGTCCATTAGGACGTCCTCGATATTGGCATTGAGCTCATGGAGAATATTGAGCAACCTTAAAATAAAAGCAGTTGAGGGGTGCTTTGCCAAAGATGCCGGGATGCCATTTTCAAATTCACCGTCGGTCTCTCCATTAGAGGCCGACGTCAACGACTCGGTGGAGGGAGGTCCAGGCACTCGTCTAAATTTGACGGGATGTGTTGCGGACCAGATACTGCGAGTCACAGGTTCCCCGGAGTTGGCAGTTGATGTATGGACAGCGCGGTAGATTGTCGTTTCGTTGGGCACAACTTTCCCATCCAAGCTGAATTCGATATGCCAGTCCTGAGGTGTCGCTTGGAGAGCGGAGGCATACGAAACGGACCGAGAGGATGAAGGTGTTGCACCACTGGGGGGCGGAGGCGGCCCTGGACGCTTGCTTCCAGTGGAGGCTCCTGGTGTAGAAACCCTACTGCCATCTTCCTTGCGTGCCGTGACGCTCCCCTCGGTAGCTACTTCCATGTTGACAGCAGAGGGATCCGCAGGGGGTTCATCGCCCAATTCTTCTTGCAGATCCCCAACGATGGCGTCTAGGGCACTGGTATCGCCCATATCCTCGTCGTCGGTTAGTTGCTTTTCATCTGCACACTCGAGTGTATCTTGGACCTCATCATCCTCGTCTGGGGGAGGTCGTGGAGGCGTTGGTGTCTCTTCTGATGCGGCCTGACGCCTCGAACTGCGCCTCAAGACTCCCTTCTCACGCGAAGATTCCGAGAGGGGATCAGGGACAGTCGGAGACTCAGTTGAAGGGGTAGAGCGAGTCTTCGCTCGACGGGATGATCGGGAGAAGGAGGGGGCTGCTGGCGGAGGAGGGGGCGGGGGCATGTTTCCTAATCCAGCGAGTCGAGCTGCAGCAGCAGTGCTCATGGGGAACGCACCACCAGCCATGGCGGCCAGAGCTCTAGTCAGGCCATCTCGTCGTGAGCCACGAGGTCGTTCACTAAGACTAATTCGAGGCCGGAGATATTCGTCCAAGGACTTGAATGTGGCGATTGCGTGAATTGAGACCATGATGCTCCGATAAGGTCGAGGGATGTCAGAGTCATCATCGGCGACTAAACGTAGGCGGATTTGCTTCCCTAGCATCGATGCAGGACTGCTCCTATTACCATCGAAAGAATTCTGGTGCACTGTGAGAACTTCGAAATGCTCTGACCTACTGAGCAAGTCTTGTAGCTTATGTATCATCACGCTGTAGGGTGTCACAGGCGAGTCTCCTGCGGCACTCTTTGGCTTTGACTTGACTGTATTTCCCATGAAGACCTCGAGGAAGGTGGTCCGAGCCGACCGCGTAAGTTGCTCATCGGGATTGCCAAACACATTGACCAGCACCCGGACAAGACCGGATGCTAAAAGCTCGGAACTGGTGACGCTCTCTAGGACGTTGGAGTCAAAATAAGCAGCTAATTTTTCGAAGAGAACTCTACCCCGCCCAGGAGAGAGGTCGGTAGCGGTACGCTTGAGGAAGAAATCTTCGAGGTCAGTGGCAAGCTTTGAAAGATCGTTGAGAATGTCATTCGCCCTGTCCCTCATAGTCTGGTCGTGTTGATCACTCTCACGAGCCTCCAAGAATTTCTTTGCCACATGACGGATCCGCGACTTCATCGAGTGACCATCGGAAGACAGTCGGTAGACGGGTGCATCGAGGGACATCGTGGATCCCCGAGAGCTAACCGGCGATGCATCATCTCTGTGGATTGCTTCATGGTCATTCTCTTCCTCCTCATCATCATCACCCTCATCATCACCCTCGCCGTCACCATTCTCTTCATCCTCTTCGTCATCCGAGGTCTCTCCATCCCTGTCATCGTCCTCATCATTGCTGGAGTCATGCCTGGCCTGATCGGCATTATTTCCTGTGTCATGTGCTTCGGTAAGAGTTGTGTCTCCCTCGCTATTCCGATTGTGACTTTCGACTGGGGGATCTTGCTCATTAGCTAAGGCAGTGATTTCTGCAATAACTCCCTCGCGATAGAACTGGTAATGGAACACATCATCAAGACGGCTCAGTAGCAATTCGGTAGCTTGAAGAGCCAGCATGACCAAAGTCGGGTGATCCTGCTGAGACAAGATTGATGCCATAAAAGATGCATATGGAACAGATGTTAGTGCCTCGGCAAGGATATCCTTGTCCAAATTAGAAAGCATTTTCAGCTGTGCCGTCAGGACTTTTTGTCGGACACTCAGATTCACTGTACTGGAGAAAGCATCCGTCAAAGTAGGGAACAGGATAAGTGCAAACCGTCTGACTTCTTCCTTGCACTCCTCCAGCAAGGCGATCCGCTTATCGTTAGAACCACTGCTATCACCTGATGAAGAGGCGTTTGCTTCTCGGGAAGCATTGAGCTCTACAAAGTCGCCACAAACGGGATCTGCGTTTCGGGGAAGGCTGGGAAGCAGCTCGCAGATGACATTGAGTGTTTCGACTATTTGCTCTCGGGGTCGATGGATCAGGGCCTGCATGATAACCACGCTGTCGAGTTTTGAGGCAACATCCTCAGTTCCGCTTGGGGGGGATACACCAGTTAGAATTTGATAGAGGGTCTCGACCACATTGAGCTTGAAGAGTTCAGCCGACAGCTTGGGGCTTGCGCGGGCGGTAAATGCCAACACTCGCAGAAATTGAGTATGGATGTTAGAACCAATCAGATTCGTACTGCCAGGGTGAAGGAGTCGTAACACGACCCGGAGTAGTGGAACGCTGACGAGCTCCTCGAGTTTGTCTGCATCTTCTTTGAAGCTCTCAACAATGCCGGAAACGCAAAGGGCTGCTTGTTCCACAACTCGTTGGTCATTGCTATCCAGGACATTTAACAGAGTTGGCATAACATCCCGAACAACGGGAAAGGAGTCGTCCGGAATATTACGGCAGCAGTTGGCAGCAGTGGTTACCGCAGTTCTCTGCGTGCTTGTGGGAAAGAAGTCTAGAAAGGAGAGGCATGCTGTCAAGCCGCCCTCGCGAACAATGCTGGCAGGATACTCAACAGATATCTTCTCCAGAGTGCTTAGAGCTTGCTCGGCCAGGTCGATGAATGAAATCTCCAGGAGCTTTTGGCAAAGCACAGGTACCGCATTGCCATATACAACATTTGCCACGCTGGACGGCAGGGCTTCCATCAGATTAGCTAGGCAACGACATGACACAAGCATAATCTCCGGGCTTTCCTCTTTGTTCATCAATGACACGAGCTCCTTTACGAAAGCGTCGGGTGAAAAATGGCCGGATAAGTTGTCCTCATTCGACACAAGCAGTATTTCGGAGAGCTCCTGCAGTGCTATCAGCTGGACTGACAGATCGTCCTGGCGGAGGCTATTCAACAGGTCCCGAAGTCGAGAGGTGAATCCGGACATGATGCCGCTGAGTGCTCGTAGAGTTCCTGAAAGCCCGGCCCCGCCCGGACCGCCGAATGCACCAAACGGGTCATCTTCATCATCGTCTTCATCGTCCTCATCGTTGTCATCATCATCGTCCTCCTCCTCATCGTCATCATATCGCCGATCCTCGCCATCGCCATCGTCATCGTCACTATCGCCCTCGCGGGAAGGGTTCTCGGTTGGGGGGGGAGGGCCGTTATCCTGAGCATCATCTGTCCCAGTCATTGCGGTGTCGCGGTCTGAGGTGTTGCTGTGTCTTTTTGATCTGCGTGTTGACGAGGAAGTAGCGGAGGGGTTTGAACCTAGGAGGAGCCAATGTAAGTATGTACATAATGATGGGTAAGGCTGGCCATGTTCCACACAAACCTTGAGCACCACTTGCCGGCTTCTTGCTTCGGCTCGATTTCCTGCTCGAAGATGCTGGCTGAGCTGTCGTACTGCTGTTGTTTCTCGGAGGAGGCCGGTTCGGGCCACTTTATAAGTAAGTATGATATCATAACTTTGATGTCATGTAGCCTTAAAAGAAGGAAGTTTCACTTACTCTGAGAGATCCATGGCGTCAGACGCCTTTGCTTTCCTTTGATATCTCGTTGACACGGAAGCACCTGTGGAAGAGGTGCCAGTCGGTGGGATCTTCTGTCTCTTGGACTGTCGACCCGAAGGCCCGGGAAGTGTACTTGGGCTGGTCTGGCTCCTGGCCTGTTCCGGAGGAGGGGGGTTCTTCCGCTTCCTCGTCGACGACGGCGTTGTTCTGGAGTTGTTCGAGGTTTCTGTAGAAATGGTACCGTCCGAGGCAGTCGAAGGGACAGGTGCACCCGAGGGACGCGCTACCTGGCTGGCTGCTTGGCGAGCAGACGATCTAGTGATTCTGGGAGGCATGAGTAACGAGTTATCGGAGGCCACGAACAGACACGGCCGACGAAGCAAAGCAGGGGTAGTTAAAGAGAATGAGACAATGAAAGGATGTGCTATGAGGCTGCACTTCGATGCGTAATCACCACAACCACACGTCTGAAGCTCAAGACTCGAATCCCACTGGAAGGCTTAGGCACATGGCGTAGTATGCTGTGCAAGACTGGTGTGTGATGGAAAGAGAAGGGGAGAAGAAATGTTCAGGAAAAGTGAAGAGGGAAGAAAAGCGACAAAAAGTATAGCGATCGCCTTGTATCAGTAGATGGGAAGGAAGGAGAGAAGAAAAGTGGCCCGCTAGGCAGGAGAAAAGATGGTGAATGCAACCAGGGCCTGTGGCTTGGGATTGACCGTAGTGAATCAATCTATGGAACAGCCAGGGCTGCAACCCATAGTCAATCGGATGGGAGACTGGCAAAGCTAATAGCGTCCAGACAGGTGCATGTGAGCGAGCATCAACGTCGGAGGTGGGCTGGGTAGAGGGCCTGGTGCTGGGTTGGATGGATGGAAGAGAGACAGTCCGGGACTCAAGGCTGCGTGCGGTGTGGACGTATGTAACGCAGGGGCAACGGCATAAGGTAAGCGGCAGAAAGAGATAAATGATTAGGGCTGGTAGAATGGGATGGGACGCAAGTGAAGCAGGCAGGCGGCGAGAGAAGCAACTTGGACCTGGGCAAACGCGGGAATCAAGGTTCACCTACCGTTGAGAGCCTATGGGAGACGCTGCAGCTGGTCTCGCCTGGGGGGGAAGTCGCGCTTCGTTCTCAGCTGCCGATGTTTGTTCTGCCATGCCCAGACTACGCCATCAGGAGGGAAGGCACGACGTTGACCAGCAGCGGGGGAGAGGCAGGGCAGGCACGGGACGGAGCGGCGTTGGGCGTCTTGCGCTTTCGGAGGCGGTTTGCGGGGGGAGAGTCGGTGATGTCGAGAGGGTCCTCAGTGCTGCCTGAGATCACGCTTCGCTGCCTGGGTCGCAGGGAGGTCTGGGTATCGTCGTGGGTATGGGATGCAGCGGCTGTATGGCGAGCGACGGTCGGCGGATTATCGGTGCCACATATGGGAAGAGAAAATGTGTAAAAAGAGATGATCGTGCGCCGGTGCTGACTTTGGCTGCATTGGCAGCGCTGGACAGTATGTAATCCGACTTAATGCCACTACGTGCATGGCATGCCCGCTACAAGGGAAGTGGTGGCGTGTGTCCCATCTTGTATTGTGCAAGGCAACGCCCCCCGGTCGCACTAAGGCCAGGACGTCTTTAGAGCTTCAGCCTCCCTAAATCCACTGTCTCCCGACGGCCCACCAGCAAGGGTAGGCTTTTATCTGTGCCGATGACACTATGGCACTCGGACGGGGTATCTGCATTTGCACATGTACCGAGTCCCTATTTACCATGCAGCTCTCCCAAGCCCCCAAGACGGTCTAACTCTGTCCCAGCTTTCAAGTGTATATGTCATTAGCCGGATACCGGTAGGTAAGCTCTAGCCGCCAGCCACCCAAGGTTGGCGGGGTTGTCCTCCACAGAGCCCACTGATAACGCAAACCCAGAAATCATGAGCCAAGGCCCTCTACGTAATTTTCTGGTGCAAACCTTGAGGCAACGCCAAAATTAGACCAAGGGCGATCAATGAGCTGTGCTGGAACATGAGATGCTGAAAAGCCTAGTACAGCTCATGTCTCACCTGGCGGCCGCGTCCAATACTCTGTGTTACCCAAGGCCTTGCTGGCACTACAACATATTTCCCGCGATGTTTTTTTCAGCCCAACTTCCTTGTTGTTTTCTGATTGTTTGTTGATTTTCAAATTTTAGTGCCAGCTGGAAGGTTTGTGGTTAGCTATCTAGATGCAAATTCATTGGGAGTAGATGACCGAATGCAGCCAACAGATAAAAAAGATGGAAACCGAGGCCGTATGACCATGCCAACCATCCACAAACCCGTATCCCCTGACCGCTTTTGCAGGAGATCACTTGGCTAGCTTTTTGTTAGGCATTCTCTTGCCGCATGCCACGTTGGGCTACGATGGTACGGCATACACTCCATATGCACTATCAGACAATCGCCGTGGGTAGGTGACGGGCCAAGTGGGTGACATGAGAAATGAGACACCTAAGGGAAGAGTTGGCTATTAATCGACTACTTTCTGCAAGGAATAGAGAATTTCAGAAGTACGGAACAGAAGAAAGGAACAATAAATACAGTATTAAATACAGTTTTATATTATTAGGACTCAATAGTCCGATAATACCGGTCACAGACTTGGGATTAAGCAGCTTATTGTTTGAGTGTCTCGATTTCAATGTCACCCACTTGCGGGCTTACAGGCAGCATACCTTGTACCTTATAGTGCAGGGAAATATCTTACAGGTCGGTTTTGTTCCCGAAAGCTTCGGTTGATTATGGTGACACAAGCACGGATCTCCGTACGTTGTCGTCTAGGTAGTGTTAAATTGGGTATTATTAAACTTCTTTGCTCTGCTTCGCCTTATATCTGTTTGCTAAGTTGTCTTGCGTACTCTAGTCTTTTTTCAAGCTTTCCTTGCCACCATCGTATTCTGCCACATCGTATTCGTTTGGATACTTGTCAATGACTTCCCGCAGCTTCTTCATCTGCTTCTTCAAGTCCGGAGTCAGGTTCTCATAAGTATCCTCGAACATGTAGCTCAAGGGGGGCTTCTTCTCCTTCTCGGCCTCACTAATACCCTTGAGAATCTCCTTTCGTAACCGATCTCTAGCCTCCTTCTCCTTGGCATCGTCCCACATCCCGTTGTTTTCCATCCACTTTCTTAGCCGCGTGATGGGGTTATCGCGGCGCTTCCAGTCCTCAACCTCGACCCTTGCACGGTATGCAAATGAATCATCAGATGTGCTGTGGTGGGATACTCGATAGGTCAGGGCCTCGATTAGAACGGGCTTGCCGCCATCCTCAAGGGCGATTTCTCGGGCTCTCTTGACTGCCTCCCGAACAGCCCAAATGTCGTTGCCATCCACCCGGATTGTATCAATGCCATATCCAATTCCTCGGCTTGCAATGCCATCACCACGGTACTGGTCCAGAGTGGGGGTGGAAATAGCATAACCGTTATTGCGGCAAATGTAGATTATAGGACAGGAACGAGTTGCGGCAATGTTGAGCCCTGCGTGGAAATCAGCACCGCTTGCTGCACCCTCGCCGAGGTAAGCAACTGTGATAAGAGGTTTGGAGCTAGGGTCTCGAAGTCTAGCCATTCTTTGGGCATACGCGCTGCCTGCAGCATGTGGTAACTGGGTGCCAATTGTCGAGGAGATAGTATGCTGTGTTGGCGTTAGCACTGCCTACATTTGCACTATCAGATTATGTTATAGTTGAGGACCTACAATATTCAACTCTTTGCATCCATAGTGGATAGGCATATTTCTGCCTCTGCCGCTATCTTCCCTGTTTGCAAATAGCTGTGCCATAAATTGCCTAGTGGTGAAGCCTCTCTCACGGAAGCATCCTTGTTCGCGATACTGGCAGAAGATGACATCTTCTCTGTCTAACACACTGGAGCTACCAACAGGGACAGCCTCTTCTCCAGCGCTGACCATGTAAAAGCTTAGGCGGCCCTGTCGCTGTGCATCAAACATGATGACATCCAGTATCGAGATATAGACCATGTCTGTATACAGCTTCACAATTGTTTCCTCCGGGATATCAGGCTTGAATGACGGATCGACAATAGTGCCATTTTGATCGACAACTCGGTAGGTTGGCAACGCTGTCCATTCTTGCGGGTGTTGGAATTGAAGAGTATTGGTGAAGGCACTCTTCAGTGCACCTGGGAAGGATACAAAGTCTGATTCCGGTCGCTGGGAAATGCTGCTCGCAGAGCGAATGGATCTGTAGAAGCTGGAAGTCGGTAGGGTTCGTGCTGCGACCGCTCGATAGAGGGAGGCGTTCCGTAACGCGCGAGCCTTCATTGTGAAGGTCGTGTGAGTGTGTGTATCTGGGGCGGCGAGTTCGAATAAGACGGCGTGGACAGGCTGATTTGGTTACAAGAGGTGAATAGAGCAACGAAGAGTATCCTTTGAGTGGCGCCTCAGAGAGGTAGGTTATTGCCGAGATGCTGGTACGGTCTAGCACAGCGCCGAGTATGTCAAGTTGAAGTAGTCAGCTGAGCCGACAGAAAGCGAGCCGAGGGAGACCGCAACAAACCATCGCCGTTCCTGGGCGTAACTCGCTGAACCTTCAACCGAAACCCACCAAATTTAGGATCGAAGTTTAAAGCGGTTAATTACCTTGGCCATGCATTGTTTCTGCCACGTACTGCACTGATAAAAAAAGATTGACCCCGACGGGAAAGAGTCTCAGACAATAATTCACAATGACGAGAGTGACGAGCCCCACCTCCGCATTTTCTTATCGATAACCACCCACCTCCGGATTTGCTCCTCGCTATTCTAGGCCGACGAACTAGGGTCAAGGTACGGAGTAGATTCGACTGGAGTACGGTCTTCGAGGCATTGAGCTAGGATGGAATAGTAGCCCTCTCGGTCTTGCTCTGCATTCATATTTACCTAAGCTGAATTCCAAACACGAGCACACTGGCTTTCTTCAAGTTAACTTTGTCGATAACTCAATAATGGGAATGAATTGGCTAGACAGATAAAGAAAGACTAAATTACAAGCAAAGTAAGCGCAAGTAACTTGGGCTTTTTTTCGCCCCGGTAGACGAGGGTAGTTTGTGATATGCCTACAAGTCAGACTACAGAGGAAATTTATGGTGACATTCAGGAGTTTAACTTTACAGCAATCGCGATTTTTCAGTGAATTGATTTACCATAAGGTGTCACCAACAGCCCTTAGCTTCTATGATTTCAACAGGTGGAAGCCTCGGCAGGAGTGTCAGAATTCGGTCTATATCATTCGTTACTTTTTAAGTAGTTTACATTTATTGTACAACGAAACATGGCTGCCCCAGTGCTCAGAGGGGTTTGATACCGCGATGAATAGCCGCAATGCCGCCTGTCAAGTCCTCGTACCCCTTTCCGGCGACTTCAAAGCCAGCATCCACAATCATATCGCGGAAATCCTCCTGGCTCGGGAAGCGCTCGATGCTTTCCACCAGATACTGGTAGCTGTCACGGTCGCCAGCCACGAGCTGGCCGATCAGAGGGATCGCCCCGAATGACCACTGCTTGTAGAAGGCATTGAACAGCGGGTACTTGTCCACCTTTGAGAACTCGAGGCAAGCAAACACGCCGCCTGGCTTCAGGACGCGGTGAGCCTCCCGTAGAGCGGCAGGAATGTTGGAGAAGTTTCGGATGCCAAAGGACACAGTGTATAGGTCGAGCGAGTTATCTTCGAGCTTGGGTGGCAGAACCTCAGCATTCGCCTCTAGGAAGGAGAGGTTGGCCTGATGCGTAGCGGGGAGGGCCAGGGATCGCTGGCGTCCGACAGCTAGCATGTCGGGGTTGATGTCGGAGACGATGATCTTTACGTTTGGGTTGCTGTTGTAGCTTTGTGCGTGCTGCTGCATCCGAAAAGCAATATCACCGGTGCCGCCAGCGACATCAAGAATGGTCTGAGGGGTTCCGATAGGTGTAGTCGCTCCTGGGTTCAAAGAAGACACAAAATGGTCCCTTCACACATGTTAGCAAGAGCCATTGAACGGTGAAGTAGGATCGGGGTGCGTACTTCCAGAGCCGATGAACCCCAAGAGACATCAAGTCATTCATCTTGTCATATGATTCTGCGACGCTCGTGAACACTCCCGCAACACGTTGCTGCTTCTCGGATTCTGTGACGGTCTCATATCCAAAGTGCGTCGGCCGATCGCCCGTAGGGGTCTGAGTGGAGGCGAGGACAACACGGGATGTGCTGAACGGACGTACCAGGTTGGTACTTGGGCGTATGGAGCATCTTGAGATGCTCCCATAGATCCTCGAAGCAGGCCGCACTGCCATTTTGGGAGAGATTGAAGAAGCTCTGGTGGTGGAGCTTGACTGGTGTGGAAGCTGTTTTGTTGCGTGATGTCGGAATCCTTGACAAGGCTGAGGCCGAGAATTTGCGACATGACAGAGTGGGGCGCCACCATGTTCCCTGTGTTCATCAGCCTTGTAGTCCACCCACATCCTCGGGACTCCAGATAGAACAACTGAAATGGTCCGTATCCGTGTAATTTAGGCTCTCGATTCATCAGAACCTCCTTGCTGAACTTTCTGATGGTGGCCCACAAGTGCTTGCACGAATGATCTGATCTGGGACTTGAAAAACCAACAAACCAGTGCGACGAGTATGAACAGGCAGACAATAATCACAGCCAGACTGGCAGCCGGTGAGACCATTCTCAAGAAATAAAACCCCTCGATTTCGGAGTAAATTGGGATTGGGATTTTGTACCTGAATCTCAGGCAATTTTTTAGAGACCTTAGTGAATCGTTGAAGGAATCGAGGTTGGTGTGGGACGATGGCGGTGTTGGAGTTTGGAGGAAAAGTTTACGAATGGCTTATGGGGAGCATAGGTAGGTAGCTAGGTAGGTAGGTAGGTAGCAATTCAGAAGGAGCACGTATTGCCTAGGAACCGACGGTGCTGATAACTGCGGACAGCTGTTGACGGCTGTGTTGATAACTGCCCACAGCCGCTGACGGCTCTGTTGTCAGGCCCTGTTACGCGGGTGGCATAACTCAATCACTGCAGATGAAATCGAATGTATGAGATGTAGTGGATTCACAGAGGCCCCGTGCCATAATCACAAAGGACCTATTCTATCCTCTTCGCACTAAACTCCAAGCAAGTCAAAGCCACCTCAATGTCAGAGCGCCACGGCTTCGACATCTCATTAAGTACACATACATAGAAACTGGAAGCTCAGCCTGGAAGTTTTAATCCCCCTCCCGAGCCCAGCGCAATGACCACCAGGGGAATGAATAAAGAAAAAATGAATCAACACCCCGCAAAAGAGTAGATGCCGGATAAAAGAGCACGATGAATCAAGTAAAGAGGATGAGTTCGTTTGGACGAAGCATCAACAAATGTCCACGTCCTTACCACTAATTTTCTTGACCAAGAGCAGGTGAGGATGCGCCAGTCTCGCCCTTGACACCACCTCTCCCACGGCCGCCACGACCTCTCTCACCGCCACGACCACCACGACCGCCACGACCTCCGCGACGATTGCTCTCTGAGTCACTCGCACCACCGCCAGCGCTTCGGTAGCCGCTGGCAGTAGTACCCCCACGGCTGCTGCTTCCCCAGTTTCCAGCGCCTCCCCGGTTGCTGAAGTTCTTGCTTTCGCGATGCTGGAAGATCTTGACGAGGGGCTTTGAACGATCCTCCTGGGTACGTGTCTTGACGTCCTCGGGCAGTCTTGCAAGTGCAGCATCACGTTCCTCAACGGTCTTGAAATGGACCACCTTATTTTGGCTATTCAAGCCGCCCCATTTCTCGATCTTGACAATCGTGGCCTTGTCTTCTTCGGCGAACAAATCACGGCACTGTTCCTCGCTGTTTACATTCATAATGAAAAGACCGATGATATCGGAAAAGGTTGATTTAGTAGGGGCAGGTGAAGACGCTGTGTCCTGGCCATTAGTAGATCCATTGGCTGCTGCAGGTGCCTTTTCGGCGTCCTTGGTGGCGCTGCCGGGAGGATGAGGAGTTGTCGACTTGGGGGGACCAGTCAAGGGAGTTGCGACGGCAGGCTTGGGTGGCTGGGCCGATGAGGCTTGTCGGCTGGCTGGGGGTGGAGCAGACGACTGTGTGGAGGGAGGAGCCGGTGCAGGAGCGTTGCTGGGGGATGCTGTCGATGCCGGAACAGCAGGCGGGGCTCCGGCCTGTTGCTTCACACCACGGTGAGAGAAGTTGAATCCCTGGGCACGCATTTCGGTACCGATTCTGCCATCCTGGATCTCAAGCACAAGATATCCAAAGGCAGCGTCGGCAAGATTGAAGTTCCACATATTCTTGAACGCGCTCTCGTCAACCTGACCCAAAGCCCCAGTTCCAGATACCGGACCGCCAAAGGGATTGCCTCCCGCAGCAGTTGAAGGCATCTTTTCGACAATCTGAAGAGCATTCTTGAGCAAGTTTTGCTGGGCTTCGTTCTGTTGAATAGCAGGCTCGACCTCCCCCTTGACAGTATCCCAGACATCGTTGAAAGATGCCTTAGAAGCAGCGAGCTTGCCTCGATAATGATCCAGCGTTGGGTTGACACTAAACTCGTTGTAGGAGCTTCCGTAGCGGAAATGGAGACCAGCGGATACGGAGAAATCGGCCTTGAGGGTAACGGAGAGCTGGTTCAGGATGCCCTCACGGGCAGGCGAGGCATGCGTCACGAAAACTCGAGTCTCGGTAGGATCGTAGACCCTGTGCGCGGTATCAATAAGCTCACCCATCTGAAGAAGCGTAGTCCACATGGTTCCCTGTCCTCCCGCAATAGTAGTGCGGCCTTCTCCATTGTCAAACAGCTTGTGCATTACCACGGCACCACCCAGGCCGAGAAGTCGTAGCTTCACACCACCGATTTCAAGAAGCATTGATCGAGCCTCATCGATGATGTGCAGATTTGGTACCCGATATTCTGCGGATCGGAATTTTTCGAGAACTCGCACATCTTCGCAGGCACCCCAAACAGTGTAGACGGGGACCTCAAGCTTGAGCTCTCCGGAGAGGAGTAAGGACAGTTCGGATAGTGGGAGCTCGCTGGGAGCAAATCTGCTCTTGACGGGGCCTGGACCACCTTGTTGAATGGCCTTCTTGACAGGCTCCGCGATTAAAGGCGAGTATTGAGCAACATGCTTTAGCGTCTTCTCGGCAATGCGCTCTAGAGATGTATCATCGTAGAACCCGAAGTCACCGGTGTGGATAATGTGATCGGCTCGAGCTTGCTTGGCTAAATCGTTGAGAGACCGCAGATTTCCTGTCGTCAAAAAATATTAGCGGGCTTCCCATCGTCAAGTACCAGACGCATTCGTGACATACCTCGTACGTCGGCGATACACAAAACTCGGATTGGACCGGTTTGGATGACTCGACCCTGGTTCGGCAGGAGGGGTGCGGCACCAGGGGGGAGACCACTCGCGCCGTTCTGGAGGTAGCCTGGATTGTTGTACGATCGCGGCTGCTAGGAGTTAGCGACATAGTCAAAAGTAGATGGGCGTGGAGCGAAGAAGATCGTGGTGTCGGTCCATGTGGAGGCAGGGGAATGCGAGGGAGCCATGCGACAGAACGCTACGCACGCAAATGCATGGTAAAATAAAGTTCTTGATATGGAGCGCAGCTTGGGTTCGCCGGAGAGGTCAAGCAAACGCGTCCTTCAGAATGCGTGGCTGGCTGGAAATGTCGAGCACACATCGAAGGTGGCCATTATAAAGGAGCTCGAGGCAGAAATGAATCAATTACTCACAGCAGCCATGCTTTCAGTAGATTTCGTACACGGCAGAGGACAGAGGCTCTTGTCGGCCAAAGGGAGGAGAAAAGGAGACGGAAGTGAGGATTAGGAAGAGTCGTGATGGGTATCAAAGAAAACAGGAGGTGAGAGAGCAGGAAGGGCAAGTCAGATCTCAGACTCTTCTCAAAGGCGCTCTAGCTTGGCTGGCAGGTTGGAGATAATTTTCTGGATTAGCCCAAGAAGTCGCGACGCAAGGCCTTACCTAGAATGGCTTAGCGCCTAGGAACAACAAGCTGTTCAGTTACCATCAGTGCGCACAGGCTCTTCACCCTCGCTTATTAGTCAGCAGCTTGAATGCGCTGTCTTTGTCCCCCAAGCCGGCTAGATGGCCGCTCTACATGCTTGGGCAATGCTAACTGCTGTCCATGAGAAGAGCAAGCCGTTTCATTCAGCAAACGTTTGGCATACGTGTCCTTGTGGGATCAATCTCCCGAGAGTTTGCGGCAGAGTTCACACAGCGAACTAGAATCATCCCAAGTTGCAGCACACAATAGAATCAGACGCTTATTATATCTCGGGCATCCTATCGTACCATATATTCAAGGTGGCCCAGGCTCGGGCTCATGCCGAGTCTTTTTCAGATATCTATCAGGTCCTTTCCCCGAAAAGAATGACGCGGCGGGGGAGAAAGGAACAAACACCATTGTATGCCCATCGCGTATGCATGTCCAGTCGCAATCCCGTGGGAGAAATCCTGACAACTTGATGGGGGAAATATGTGTCAAGACAAGTAGCGACGTCTAAAAGAAACCAAGAAATAAACTGAAGACTGAAGATGTGAATAATTGCAGAGCCGTACCTCACGCTTGAGTTCAAACCACACGCCATCTCCGTCGCTAGTCCCTATGATACCATCGTTGATCTCAACATAAACCTGCAAATACACCCGAATACCACCGCCCAAACCCCAAAAATAAACTCCGCCAAATGCTTAGTGTAGATTTTGCTTATCATAGCACCGTATACGGTCTCGACAAGTTCGCCATTGGCCTGCCAAGACCGCCGTCGCTAGAATCGGCTGTATATAGTTGGAAACCTAAAAAGAACAGAATCCGCGCTGAGTTTAGAGCCAATTGTTGTCATTGTTGTTGTTATTGTTGTCGTCACTACCATGTAGTCACCACATATTATTGTCTCTTCCATCACGACGCTGATCATTGTCGTGATATTGGTAATAATCCTTCACTTCGTGACCGTACGAGTCTGTACCGTCATAATTATAGTCCTGTTGACGGGTTTGCTGGTGATGATGATCAGTCCCATGCTCATCTTCATAAATTTGAGCGTCATCAACGTAGTCCACCTCTTCATTAGCCCCGGCCTCACCGTATGCCACGGCAGACTGTTCACCTTGTTAGTTAATGTCAATGAGGGGGGCTAAAAGAACACTCACCCGATGATAATCAAAGTCGTACTGGTCCAGGTCTTGTTCGTTTTGTCCTGCCTGCATCTGCTGCTGGGCCAAATACTCCTCTTCTTCCCGTTTTCGTCTGGCCTCTTCCTCAAGACGTTTCTGCTGGGGGGAGACAGGGACATTCATGTTGGGATGCATCGCCTGAACGATTGCCAAATAGCTGTACATGAAGTTGCTGAGCAATACCTGGCTTAACAGTGGGCGTCGAGGGTTTGCCAGTTTAATATGTGCCATTCGATAGATAGCCCGCTCCTCCAAGAGGGGAAACCGAGTCCAGTGATAGTCGACATCGGGTTCCAAGGGTTTGACGACAGGGGGTTCGGACGGGACTCGGAGATGCTGGGACTTCTTGCTGTGCCTGTCCTTCTCTTCCTTCTTCTTGCTGCCACCAAAGATGGACGAAAAAATGCTGGAATCCTTCTCCTTCTTCCCGTCACTCTTTCGGTGGCCATCCTTCCTCCTATCATCTTGGAGTTTGCTATCCACACTATCCCGATCCAAGACGACGCTCTCGCGACCCTTAATCGCCGTCTTATCGATCGATGTCTGGATGACGTCCAGCCGTACATTATCTTGGGCTCGCTCAACAAGTGCCTTTGTTCTCGACTTCTTGCCTTCTTCTTTCTTTTTCTCCTTGTCCTCACTGCTGCTCTTGAACCATTTCCATGCGCTGCTTGTTGATTTGGTGGACGCAGAATCGTCATCCTTGTCCTTCTTTGACTTCTTTTTCTCATCGTGACTGTTGAAGGTAGGAATGAAAGCCAGACTATCAGTTCTTGAGGAGCTGTTTCCGCCATAAGAGTTAGAGTTCCCTGCAATCTGTTCATTTAAATTCTGTGATGCATTAGGCGCTGGCTTCGTGTATTGCTGAGAAGGAGATGCATTCTGGCTCAGTTTACGTCGAGACGACTTTGGTGGCAACTCGGAAGGAATAGGATCATGGGCAGGTTCCGATTGTGCTGGGATTGGTGAGCGTACTGAACCCTCTCGAGGAGGTGAACGAGTTTCTTTGTCTTCTTCCACCGTAGCCTCGGGAGCCCGCTGGCTGTACTCGGAAGAAGCATATATCGCCGGCTCATATGACTCTTGAGACGACGCCTGCGTTGGCGGCCGCTCAGCTCTTGGCGAGGGGCTTTCGAGTGCAGTTGAAGCCTCCGCAGATTCTCGAGTAAGCTCAGGTGAACGAGCTGATGATCTCGACTGTTCTTCGGAAATGGGCTCAGATTGTACTCTCATAATCGCGTGCCCTGGTGGAGCCGGAACTGGGGGGATTCCTGAGTCCTCGCTCTCCTGGTGACGGTGCCCTACCCGTCTTGAGAAAGGCCTTTCTCCACGTAAACTTCCACCTTTGCGGTATTGCGTCCTGGTAGACCTTCGAAGGCCCATGCCGGGAGGCATTGGCAAAATAGGCCTATCATCAGGGTTGCCTTCCGCGCCATCGCTGGCAGCCTGGGATTCTTGAGCGAGCCTCTTCACAGCTTTGGTTGGGTCCTTGACAAGGTCTTCTAAACTGAGTTCAGAGTTCTGTCGTTCGCGTTGCGATCTTTGTCGTTCAAGTCTTTCAGCACCATCAACATAACCCGAGGCACCTTGGCCTGTATTATTCACAATCTGCCTCGAAAGCTTTGACTTTTGTCGCCTCAGGGACTGACCCACACCTAGTGATGAGCCTGAATTGCCAGGGCCGAGATCTCCGTCACCCAATCCCATATCTCTCGACTTCCTACGGATCGATTGGACTCGAGTTTCAAGAAATGACTTGAATTCCGTGGGTGCCAGTTCCGGGTGAACTCGCGCGGGCACCCAGAGTAAACGTGAAGGATCGGCCTCATCATCATCGCCAGTTGGTGCAACCAGGGGAATGCTCGAGAGAGACATCTGAGGCATATCCGGATCTTTGATATTCCCCACATCCATTGACATCCGCCTGAGTGCTTGTAGGTTACTTAATTCCTGGGCAATGTCGTTCGCATTATCGATGTTTGTGAGCGTGTATTGGGAGGTAGCCGCATCCGTTTGCACGTCTCGGAGAGACAGAGGTGGTGATCGTGGAGATTTTGGACCATTTTCAAGAGAGCCTTTACGTTGTTGGCCCTGGAGCATCGCTGGAGGCGACTTTTTGAGACTGCCCCGTTCGCCGTTGAACAAGGGCGATGTTGGCTCTGACGCCGCCCTATTTGTTTGTCTCGACGCATCGGGTGACAAAAGATCTCTGTTTTGTGGCACAAAATGGATTTGTTCGGAAAAAGGCGAGCCGCCAATGAAACTCAACGGTCTGTTCATGTTGTCCGCCAGCGGTGATTCATCTTCGTCGCCGTAGAGTGTGCCAATCGCTTCAGTAACATGATGGCTAGGATCCGAGATGGAGAGTTGACTAGCATGACCGCGCCGGTTAGCGAAGCTGCCGCCAACCTGACCGCCGAGCCGAGGTGAGGTCTGTATGATTCCGCAAGTTAGCCACGATGCCCATCTTACATGGCAAACTACCCCATGCCGCATAACAGGTGTTTCGGCAGACAAGTCATCTGGGATAAAGGACATTGGGAGGAAAAAGAAAAGGCCCGAAACGCATTCCAATTTCTGCCCGGTCGGACTGTTGCATGGAACAACATTAGGATCACTCACCATCATCGAAAATGAGGACGAGCCTCACGAGAGGCCAAGGCGCTGGCAGTTCCCCTTCACAGACAGCTGAGTCCTACAGCTCCTAGATACGACGGTGAAGTTATTTCAGCCCGTTCATGGGCAGAGCGTCACCACAGGAAAGTGGGCGCACAACTGTTGTTGAAATCGTTGAGAAGGGAGAGGGCGAACACCTCCTTTTGTCGTTTGCTTCGCCTATGATCGCATGGAGATGGTGATGGTCCAGATGCCAAGAGACCTCGAGATCGGCGGAGAGAGATGTTGGCGGTCGTCGTCGAGTCGGATACCGATAGTCCGCGGTTGTAGAATGTCGATATCGGTTGCTGACTCTCGATACTGGGTGGCCGTGATAAGTCCGTATGCTCGCCAAGTGGATATGGATGTCAGATGAGTTACCTGGATGAGGCCAAGGGTGACAATTGGCTGCTCCGCATTAGCGCGCTCTTAGCGAAGGATGCCAGCTTCAGGCAGGTTTTGGTGCTGTCAAGCCTGGCTCCAGTCACGTGCAGCTCTCTTCAGCGGATCGAGGTATCTGTCATGCGCTAAGTTTTGCGTTAAGAAGTGCCCCTCCATTGCTTCAGGTGGTAATTTGGGTCCCGGTAATTGCAGTACCACTCAGGCTGTTGGGCGCCCAAAGAGCTACGTCTAGTCCGAAACCTGAACTCATGCGCGCCAAAGTACCTCGTATTATTTTCCACCTTGGGACGAAACATGAATCTTCATGACCACGCTCTTGATACCTACCAACCTCCCTAGTGTTCACGAGGACATTAAGCACGGTACATAAGGCTCCCCATATGACTCCAGTGATCCTCAACAAGACAAAAATACAGCAGTAAAAAAATGAAGTCTCGCGTCCTGCCCTTGTTGGCGGCAAGCATTCCTGGTCTACTTGCAACCAATCGGA